CAGTTGTGGTTTAATGAGCTCAGTTCAACTTTATTGCCAGACTGAGGGTCCACTAAAAAAACACAACACTATACCGTAATGTTACCCTTGTGTTTTGCACTGACTCAGCTCTATTTTGGACTTACCCTGATCTGCAAGTGTTCATATAAATGTCAAAAACTGCATCCTGCTCTCCGGCGTCTTGCATTTGAGCCCAAAACTCTCTTTTCCTGCGTTTGCATTTGACTGGTGTGACAGTTAGACCTGTTGATTGATAGAAAAAAAAAATTAGTCAACAGAATTCCTGTTATCTAGAATTTAAAAATTAGAGTTGATAAAGAAAGGGAGACTTAAAAAGTACAATGTTTTCGTGAGTTGGCCTATTTGCTCTCCTTTCTTTTGCTGTGGTAGGAAATGCAAATGTCTCCTTGTTAAAACAACACAGTTCATAGTAAAGATGGCTAATAAGACTCCAAACAAACAGTTTTGTTTGTCTGTGTTTCTTATCGTGGTGGAATTTATTTACTTATTTACCTCAAAGTGTGATAGACTGTGCAGCTGTTGGGCAAAATACAGTTGCAACCTGGAAAATTTAAAAATATTATTTTTGATTTCGCCTCACTTTTAGTTTGTCCCTGTGGCCGCTCGCACTACTGCAACAAAATAAACCCTTTGCAGCACTAAAAGTGTTTTAAGCATAGAACTCCATTATAAAAGATCTTTCATCCATGAAGTGTTCATATTTGTAAAAATTTCAGAGCCTTTGTGATGTCATCCGAATGCAAAGTCTTTTAAAATTTTGATTCTTGACCTTATCGTTTTAAATCTAATTAAGTTTCATGCTCATTGACAGTTTAGCATTTTAAAATTTATAACATCACCTGCTCGCTCACATTTAATTTATGTGCACTACTTCATATTCAGTTATTTGATTTTTTTTTTTAAGTCCAGGTCTGGTTTTATTACCTCGTCTGTCAGACCTGTATCTCTTAGTGAACAAGAGGATTAGAAGGATGATGAAGACGAGAAGGAGGATGGCACCCATTCCAGACACCACACCATAAAGTAGTCGCCGGTCTTCAGGAGAAGATGGAAAACAAAGTATAAATTCACAACTACTTGCAAAATGAAATAGTACATACAGACATTATGCATGTCAGGTATACAGCAGTACAGTTTAGCAACCTCTAAACTCCAGTACTGTACTTTCATAAGCACAATTCATAATCATTTGGCAATTTCTATTGTATGCTATTTTATATTTGTACTCTTAATTGCATTTAATTGTAGCTACACCACATTTTCCATATTAAGATTTTATCTTATTAATATATGTAAAGTAGTTAAAATAACTGCACCTTTAACCTACAACATCAAAATGTTGCTTGTACATTAATGTATCAGTAATTATCATCATTTCATTAGTGCAGGACTTTTAGTCATGACAGCATTTTTACACTGTGGTATTGTTACTTTTTCTTGCGTAAATGATCTCAAATGACCTTCATTTTAATATCCTATCCTAGAAAAAGTGACTGTGTTCTGATGTCAGGATGCTTCAGTCACAGACGTCAAATATTAAACTAATCAGTCTTCAGAAATATCTCACACTCTGAAGGTTGATCACTGATCGCTGGCTGAGTGGTGGAAACTGTAGATGTTCCTGTAATGATCAGACATATTGGAAAGAATTATGCAACACTTCGTGTACATACATCGTATAATATTGTAGTCATTTTCTTTTCATGCTTCTGGGTAAATCTTTATTTCTTTAATCTCGTCATACCTGTGTTCATAAGCGGTGCAGATGGCGAAATGGCTGGTGGAAGAGAAGGAGTTGTTGAAGTCTCTGGTGGAGATGTAGTTGTTGGTACCTTATGATCTATAGTGAACAATGGAGGAAAAAATAGAGAGCTGAAGTCATGGAGTCTCTCATTCAGCAATTTGTTCATCTGTGACAAAATGTGTTCCTGAGGTTTACTTTTCATATCTTCACACAGATCAGCTCCACTACAACACAAATTTTTAGAAACTAAATCCTTCATTCAGGCAGCACAGTAGCGCTGTGGCTTCACAGCAAGAAGGTCGCGGGTTCAAACCCCGGTTCTGTGTGGCGTTTCCATGTTGTCTGCGTGGGTTCTCTCCGGGTGCTCCGGCTTACTCCCACTGTCCAAAGACACAGGGACTAGATTGATTGTGACTGGTTGTTTGTCTATGTGTGGCCCTGTCCAGCTTGTACCCCGCCTTTCGCCGAATGTCAGGTGGAACTGGGCAAATCCATCTACCCAAATCTCATGATAAAATATCCAGCACACATTGAAGCTCATATTGTAAATGGTAAACCATCAGCTAAAAGGTAACGTTGTGCGTATGTGTACAAATGCCTGTATTTGAATTAAAATAATCTGCACTATTGTACTAAAGCCTTTTATGTTAAAGGTATTGCCAATGTAAACAATCTCTGAAAGTCATCGTCTGCACGAAGGTTTTTTGGAAAATATGAAAAAACATTAATTGAATTTTGTAGATTACCAAACGATGTAGCTCGACGGGAACACAGTTAATAAGTAACGTATATTTATCTAACTCGTTTTCTTTAAAACTTTTACTTAACACTAAAGGCACTGCTGAGACCTACCACTCTCCAACTAACTACATGTTATTGACATCAAAAAACCAAATTAAAATAAAAGATAAATTGAAAATGCTTCATCAATACTGAAAACAGAACAACTTTATTAAAGTTTTTATGTTACCTGTGATCACCGTCAGCTGCACAGCTGCTTCATTATTACAGAAGTATGTTCCAGCGTCTGAGACGGCAGCTCTGCTGATGTGAAGTGACTTATCTGCTGATGAACTGTATCGTTTCAGTGGGTCATGAATGTGTCTTATGTCTCCGTCTTCATCAACTGTAAATATGTCAACTCTGTTTCCGTTTCTCTCTCTGCTCCACGTCACTTTACCCTCCACAGGGTGAGGACATGGCAGAGTGACGGAGTCCTCCTGCCTGATTATTTTATGCTTTTTCTCTGTAAAAGAAACACATTTTTCAATAAATTTGCATTCATTTTAAGAATTTCTACTGCGGTGAGCAACTCTCAGATCCATGTTCACCATTAGAGACAGAATAACATTAATCTGTTGAAGAAGGCCACTGTTCTCAATGGAGAATGATTCTCTCCACCAAACAACTGTGAGGGATTTATTTTATCAAATCCAAAATTTAAAACTGATGTTTCTAATCCAGTTACTTATATCCAGTTAAATATAATTATTTATCTACAAAGACATAAGAACATTTTTGAAAGGCTTATAAAACATGTTTGTTACTCCACATTCAGATAAATTAAGCTTCACCATCTGTAGTTCACTTCTGACTTAGGTTGGTGTAGACTTACTCACGTATGTCCACACCAATATTTTTCAGTTTCAGCCTGCTGTATAAACTAGAATAACATTTTTATCAAGACAGAACAAAGGTTTTCCGCATTATTCCAGTATAGTGTGAGGTATTGAAGTTAAGAAAAAGGCCTGTAGCTGCCTCAAACTAACTCTGCGGTAACTTTCAGTGTCAGTGTTCAGCTGCCAAATATACATCAGAGCTGTTGAAGTAGAGCATGAATGCTGGTTAACAGATAGAGTTGTAGGGCTGTGATTAAATAACCATTTTATAATTGTAGAATCAAATAAAAAATAGTTTATAAATTCTTACCTGCGCTGACATTACAGCACAGAACAAAGGCGAACAGGCAGCTGTAGATCTTCATCCTCATCCTCACACAGACTGAAGTGACTGATCAAACAAACACTGTTTTATTCTGAGCTGAGAAAAGGATGTGTAAACCGGACATACTGACATTTGTTTTTGTCTTTTCTGTGGTTAATGCACACTGATGGTTAAGGTTGTTTAAATATAGAGCATGATCAAATTTCCCTCACAACTAATTCTGTACCAGTACAAGAAAGAACCTGAAATAAAGACATCATCACCTTATGAAGCGGTTACACCAAACATGGTAACAGACAGCCGGGTACGTCCACATCCAGCAGGCACAGAGCAACATTAGCATCCCATTGGAGAGGAGTTTGTGTCCGAAGAGCAGCAACGGCCATCACAGCTGAAAACTAAACTAAATGCAGAGAGCAGAGATGCTAAACAGGAAAAACAAAACCACATTTACACCTAGAGCGCTAACAACACAGACAATAACATTGTGCTCTAATGATGGCAACCTGTTTTACACTGGCTGCAAAATGTGACCACAGAAAGATCATTGCACATCACAATCTCCTTTTAAGGCATTTTAAGTCACCATGAATACTGGGTAAGAAAGCCAGGAAACACAGATGAGTCTGGGGCTTCACAGGAGAACTGTGGATTAGTAATACGACTTTTTCATCTGTCACTTTTTCAGTTTTCATATGTTTTTGTCTTTGATAATGGTGGTAGAATTATCTTTCAAAATTAAATAAATATAAAATTATACATATACAAATACAATTTAAAATGTAAATAGCATATTTTGTTAATCAACCGTACTCCGGTCTGACGGCTAGAGTACAGGACTTAAGATCGGCAACAGGGCATCTGGACTGGAGGCCAGCAACAGGCAAAGACGGTACCCCTCTGGAGGTTGAGCAGGGGAATGGTAACATGATTATATATGAGTTATGTAAATTATATTGCATTTCTGTAAATGGACTCTGCTAAAAAATTACACACTGAACTTGAACTACTAATTTTATTTTGAAAGTCTAACAGGATGTTACATATTTATTATTGCTAACCATGGAGCCCCAAACCTGCAAAAACAGTGCTGAAGAGTTACCCAGTGCTTTATAAAATGACGCTTGGGTTGTTGACCAAGTGTCCACGTGTGTCAAGTTGGGAGTGAGAAAGTGTTGGAAAATCATGTCTTGTGGTTGTGGCTGCTGGAAACACTTTGAAAGGAGATAAGAAGTTGTGGAGAGTAGAAGCATCACATGTCCAAAGAAAACTCAGATGTACAGTATGTGGGGTTTTTTTAATGAAAGAAAACATGGCAAATACATTTAAGAGAAAAACAGTTCAACACACGGCACAAGAAGGAATGTTCTCTACTTCGTCCTGAGCATTTTTTATTTAAATGTATTTTAAAAAGTAGGAAAAAGTTTACTCTTGTCAATAATTAAGGTTTTGTTCTAAAAGTAATCAGAAGCAAAACATTGTTTGTATCTACTAGTCACAAACAGTCTGCTAAAGTTATAAGTCATCCCACTGTTACAGTTCCGACCTGTGGGCAAGGAAAGTAACATATAACCAGATGGATTTGGTAAAAGAAAAGTTATTTATTGTAGCGCAAGAGTTTAACACCATGGATAACAGAAAAGGGGCCTGTTGGATGCTGCTTAAATCAATGAAAGCAATGTAACGAAAAGGAAATCTCTACTCAGAGAGAGAGTGATTAACCTGCACACAGTTATTAAAGCAAACAACTGAAAAGGTTTCAAAACCAAAACACAGATTGATCTGTTGTGACTAACATTAAACAACTGCACAGACACAGCTGAATCAATAGTAAAGCTAATCCTAGGCCCTTTTCCCTTAGGCAGAGTTAACACTAATTATTCCAAGCAAACAGATCTCCGACAAAACTTTACACAGCGAGGCAAACCGATCAATGGAAATCAGCAGTAAAATCTAATAAAAATCAACATAGGAGCATCTACAGCTTGTTTCAGACAGAGGCTGAAATGAAGAGCCAGTATAAGAAAGATATGAATCATGCAAGGCTGCCATACAGGAGTCACAGAACTACAATGTAGGACTGGAAATGCAGTATAGTACGTCTCCTTCAAGAACAGCTGATGTCAATTGCCATCTTCTGGTTGGAGGGAGTTGCCTCAGGCTGCGCCAATCATTATCGAGCAGGCAGGAAGTAGTTGGGGTCGGCTTCAGCAGAGCCAATCTTCAACAGGCAACCTCACAGCTGACTCAGCATATAGTAACCTGCGCAACGTCTCAACCACAGCACAGAAAATCGAGTAAAATTGTAACAATTACCTTTAATAAGCAAATACTGTTGTTTGGACAAAATAATGTAACTAATATTTACAGTAGATGCTACAGCTGTATGTTATAATTAAAGTATTATGAGTTTATATACATTTCATGGCATCAAGGCCCCTCAAAAACAGCTTTAACCTCCACTTCTAAACATAGATGGATTAATGAACAAGTCAACTGAACACAGGCGCAAAGTCAAACAACGAAACACAAAAAGACTACAAAAAGATGCAAAACAACATATTCATCACTTTCCTACATATGACTCAGAATTCTGCTTTTACCTGACAGAAACTAAATATTCAGGTGAAACTATGTAAATATTGTTCATAGTTGTTTCCCCAATTAAACATATGTGGAGTCACCAGCTGCGATGTACCTGTTGAAATTACAATCAACAGAATTCAGAATTCATATTTGTTCCGGTTATTTAAACTTTTAAAAGTAGTTTTTGTAGATGTGACATTTACTCTCCTTTCTTATGCTGGATTAGGAAATTGTAATTTATTTTATGGTAACACATTAAATGCCTCCCACCCAATTTTAAATGCAGCTAATGATTAAAGTTACCTTTATTATCTATATCGGGCTTTGGGATGCCAAATCAAAGAATATAGTGGCTCATTAGTTAGAGGTGTCTCTGTAAGAAGAAACAATAATTAATATAAACAGTAACAAGCATCTAGAATATTTGGTGTTGTGTTAGTGTTGATGAGCGGTCAGGCTTTACCTGTATTGTTTCCCGTCTGTGGGCGGTTGTGGATCATGTAGGCATACATGGGGCTGTTTTGGCTCGAGCCATCTAAATATTAAAAAATTTACCAAAAAGTAAATTCATTAAATAGGACAAGATGGAAAAGATAGTGCTGTTGGCTAGAGAGAAAAACTATAACTGACACTAGTGCAACACAGTGTAGGTATTTATGAGGTAGTTTTTTTTTTTTTATTCTAATGATGAAATCATTCTATAAATAATGAAACTTAAACATAGTCATCGACATTTAAAAAGACAGAGCCATCATCACGCATTTGTTTTTCTTTCTTCTTTATCTCAAAGTAAAGCCTTTACACTGTGGTGCTAAACACAAAAAGACTCCTTATGGTGGCAGAATCTTTATTATAAGTTACCTGTGCAGTTTTTGGACCAGCAGGCTATCATCAAAAATAGAGTTTCAACTTTGGAAACAGTTAAAAATCTTTATTTATTATTATTTATTATTGTGCAGTGGATGGAAAGAAGAGATCTTAAAAATTCTAGATATTACCTTAAAGTTGCATTCAGTGTTTCTGGGTTTTTAAAAAGACCGGCAGGAATGTGTCTTTCAGAAAATGATTGCTTGCCCTGAGATTAACTTGATTTAACTAGATTAGTCTTGATTATGATAGAAAAAGGAAAAAATACAAATCATGTCTTACTATTAGTAGTTTGAGACACTAATCCATTCATCTGTATATCATCATAGACATGGTGTCCTCCTTCATTTCCTGCCAATCACAATTGTGAACATCACAATATTAGTAATCCAGTAAATAATCGGAGATTAACTGCTTTAAAACTGGGATTCTTCTAGCTGTGAAAACATGACTGTATTCTCAGCGTTGCTTCTGGTTTTTGTCCAAGCAGCTACTGTCACTACTGCAAGATAAATCCTTTACAGCACAAACTCCATTATACATTTTTTTCCCAAGTTTTGTGATCCCAAAATACCCTACCAGGGTAAATTTATTTTATTCCCTTTTTATGAATTTTTTATCATGCTGCAAAGACAGTTTAACAGTTTTCAACCAAAAACATGCCCTGCTGCATTTTAAGATAAAAGTCCAGGTCTGTTTTTATTTACCTCGTCTCTTGGACCTGTATCTCCTAGTGAACAAGACGATGAGGAGGAGGAGGAGCACGAGGAGGACGATACCTATTCCAAACCACACACCATGAAGTAGTCGCCGGTCTTCAGGAGCAGATGGAAGACAAAGTAAAAACTACTTACAAAATGAAACAGTACATACAGACATAATGCATGTCAGGTATACAGCAGTCCAGGGTAGCAGCAACCTTTGGAGAAGACCGTTTACTTCAGTACTGTAAAAGTACAATTCATAATCACTTGGCAAATTATATTTTATGCTGCTTTATGCTTCAGTCATCATGCCCACTGGCCTTTAATCACTCTCTGACACCATGACTGTGTAGTTTAGCGCCGCTGTCTCCAGGTAAGCAAATAGTGCTGTTTCATACATGATGTGACTGGTTTCACTGCAATATCCTAAAATCATCCACATCCCTCACTGCTGTCACGTGTTTACACTCATAATGTGTTCAAACAACCCGTTCTCACTCCCAAGTCGTCACATATGGACGCATGGTCAAGAGTCGTGTGTTTGTGAAGCACTGGCGATCCCTTTAGCGTCATAGTTCGACGCATTGAGGGAAGTCCTGTAGCGTCGTTTTTTGACGGTAAAGGTAGGCATATGATATTTAACAGAAAAGAGTGAGTAAAGAGCTGGTTGGGGGGCCAGAACCCGGACTTTGAACCAAGAGGCCGAGGTTCGTGTAGTTAGGCCTACCCAGGTCGATAAAAGGAGACGCCCAAAGGCCTTGACCAAGCGTCAATATGTGATGAGTCGGGAGTGAGAAAACTTTTTTTCTCTAAATATTTTAACTTTATTGCCTCAGATAATTTTTTAATAGCAGGCCCTACTTCAAAGCATGGGGACGCTTACAGATAAAACGTGATCTAAAGTGTAATAAATGTAGAAATAGTGACTGTGTTCAGAACGTTTCAGTCAGAGAAGTCAAATGTTGAACCAAACAATCTTCAGAAAGACTCTCAATCTGTTGCTCATTAAGTGACTTTGAAGCTACACAAAGTTAAATTCAGAGACTAACTTCATTGAATATGATCACTCATTGACTGAGAGGTGGAAACTGTAGATGTTGCTGTAATGATCAAACATATTGGAAACATCATTTGCTGAATTGTGAATCAATGCATATATAACAGAATATTGTAGAGAGAGACTTTTTCTTTTCATGCTTTTTAAAACCAATGTCGTCATACCTGTGTTTACTAGAGGTGTGGATGGTGCAGTTGTTGCTGGAGGTGGAGGAGTTGTTGAGGTCTCTGGTGGTGGTGGTGACGAAGTCGTTGCTGGAGGTGGAGGAGTTGTTGAGGTCTCTGGTGGTGGTGGTGGTGACGAAGTTGTTGCTGGAGGTGGAGGAGTTGTTGAGGTCTCTGGTGGTGGTGGTGACGAAGTCGTTGCTGGAGGTGGAGGAGTTGTTGTTGTTGTTGGTTCCTTATGATCTTTAGTGAAGGACGGAGGAAACAATATAGAGCTGATGCCACGACATGTCCAGCCTCTGTAACTCAGTGCACTCTCTAATTCAGCATTTTGTTCGTCTGTCGATCTGAAAAAATGTGTTCCTGAGGTTTGCTTTCCACATTCTACAGCACAGTAGTAAAGTTCATACTTTTACTCTACTACATATTGTAAATGGTAAACCACGAGCTGAAAGGGAATGTGATATACGCCTGTAGTATCAAAGTTAAACCTGTTCTGCATTAGCTGATTTTTACAGATTACCAATCGATGGAGCTTGACGGGAACACAGTTAATAAGTAACGTCTATTTATGTCACTTGTTTTCATTAAAATCTTTAACACCAAGGCCACGGCTGAGAGTTCAGGGGTGTGAACACTTAACAAAGAAACGTTTTTACACTGACGTGTGTGTTTTGTGCCAAAGAGTAAAGCTGAAGTTTTATATTTTCTTTGCTCTGGGTTGTGTTTTTGGGTCAGAACCTGCACGTTCTGAATCATCACAACAACATACTGTTGAGAAAGGCTCTGTTCTACGGCTTTATTTTTAGTTTTAAGTAGAGTTTAAAAAAAGTTTCCTTCTCTCTTCAGCTCTCCTTACAGAAATAGATATTACAACATCTTTAATACGTCACAAAATGATTCACGTGATTGAAAAACGAACTACACCACGTCCATTTTTGTTGAGACTCAAAACTAAAACCACTCCCCAACTTACTACACGTAATTAACTAAACTAACAAAATTAAAAATAAAAGGATAAACTGAAACTTATTTATTCATAGTGAAAACAGAACATGTTACCTTGGAGCACCGTCAGCTCCACAGCTGCTTCATTATTACAGAAGTATGTTCCAGCGTCTGAGACGGCAGCTCTGCTGATGTGAAGTGACTTATCTGCTGATGAACTGTATCGTTTCAGTGGGTCATGAATGTGTCTTATGTCTCTGTCTCCATCAACTGTAAGTATGTCAACTCTGTTTCCGTTTGTCTCTCTGCTCCACGTCACTTTACCCTCCACAGGGTGAGGACATGGCAGAGTGATGACGGAGTCCTTCGGCCTGATTATTTTATGCTTTTTCTCTGTAAAAGAAAAACATTTTTCAATAAATGTACCTGTTTTAAGAAAAGCAGTATTTCTGCTATTGTGAGCAACTCTGATCTATGTTCACCATTAGAGACAGAATAACATCAATATGTCCAATGCAGTGGAAACACATTGAAGAAGGCAGCTGTTCTCCACCAAACAGCTGTGTGAGGGATTTTCAAAACAAAATAAAGTTGGATCCCTGACTGTCCTCTACCCGGCTCTACCAGAATATTGGTGTCAGATTTAATTTAAACCTAATTTAGTCTAATCCAGAGTTCTTTTACTAGAAAGACATGGATCCCAAGTTATAAAATATGTTGTTTGTTGACAAATTCAGCTAAGCTTCAAAGTAAGCTTGGCCGTCTGTAGTTTACTTATGAAGCTGCTACATAAATCTAATATATTAAAACTAAGGTTCTCCTTTTGTGTGGCCGTGAAAGTTAAAAAGTCTTATCGGTCTTTTTTTTTCTTTTTTTTTTTAAACCTGTCCTGCCCAGCAGGGCCGGACAGGGGGGCAGACACGGGGATGGGGGGGCACAAACAGACAGCACAGAGAAAGGACAACACCTGTAAGAGAAGGGGGATGGAAGGTGGGGACAACAGGGAAAAGCTGTGGGAAACACCAATTGCAGAAAGCAACGAAACCTGCAATAGAACAGAGAGGGGGGCTTGGGGAGGAGAAAAACAACAAACAATAAAAATAATAATAATAGTAAAAGACAACCAGCTGAACAGCAGCAATAAACAGCTGACATAGTAAGACAACTAAGAGAAAAATGAAAACAAGAAACAGTCACACACACTAAATAAGAAACACAGCACAGCCACGAGAGCTGGAATAATAATTAATTTAAATAAGTAACTGAAAGAAAAGCATCAGGAATAATTCTACCAGGGACAACCTAAGTTTGTTTGTGTCTGTATGTGTGTGTGTGTACATGTGTGTGTACATGTGTGTGCGCATAAGCCTGTTAAAGAATGTAGTTGTTAGTGAGAGTGGGACGCCACGACTGTAACAGGCAGGCAAGAACCCCAGTAGCCAATAGGGGTGGGAGAAAGAAAAAAACAAAAAACAAAGACGCCGACCCAAATGCCAGCTGACAACGTAATGCCGACGGAACGCAAGAAGCGTAACCCGCGGAAAGCAGCGCCCGGACCGACCGCGGCGCGCACACAACATAGACCAGTGCCCCCCCCCCACCCAGCACCCCACCGCCATGCAGCGAACAACCAAAATGCCCACATGCCACGCAATCAACACCAATGCACAAGTGACGAGCCCAACGAGCACACTGTGCGAGCACGGCAACACCCAATGCCCAGCAGACCCCTCGAATCCCGCGTGCGAGGTCGGGCAAACCAGAGAGAGCAAACGGAACAACACGACAGCTAAAGCCAGCGGAGAGAAACACCAGCAGCAAGTCCCAGCCCGGCAGCAAATGCGCCGCACAGGTCACCGTGCACCCGCCAATAAAAGTCCGCCGTCCCCCCATCCGCCGAAACTAAGGCCGCCGGCGCCAGCCGACATCCAGCAACGAGGCAAAATCAACTAGCTCAGCTGCATGCCACCAACAACCCACCCACCTGTCAAGGGCCGAGAACTCCAGGCACAAACCCAGAACAAACCGGAGCACAGCCCTGCCCCGCACCCACACTGCACATCCCGAAAACTAACTATATACCTCAGTATCCAGAGGGGTCCAACAACTGGCCGACAGAGAAATGGGGAAGCACGGATCCGAGGCCAACGAAGCAAAACAGGGACGCAAACTTGTTCCTCCAAGCCAACAAGGAAATGACTCCCCCGGACTCCAATGCACAAACTAAACGCCCAGCAGCCATTCAGAGACCCTGCCCAGGGAAAAAGCACAACAATCACCCCACAATCCCACCGCAGCCCACCAAGCTGCAATCGGATCAACCCGCGCAGAGACCCCCACCCCCAGAAGCCAGGGCACCCTGCGACCCCCCAAAGCACAAAGGACCCCAGACCGCATGTCCCGGGGGAAGCTGTACCCCGCCCCAAGGAAGAACAGCAGAAAGCCGTGCCGGGAAGCTCCCTGCCGCCAGGGAGCGATAACGCGGGAGAACCAGGCCAACGGTCCCCCAGCCCAGCCAGAGGCATCCCTCCCCAGAGTGCAGGCAGTGCCAGCAGCCCCCGAGGCCGATATCATCCCTGGACGGGGGCCCAGCCCCCCAAGTCAAGCACCCACAAGGAGGAGCACCAAAACATACCCTGACAACGCAGGCCATGCGCCCCAGAGACTCCCAAATGCCCCCACTGTGAGATAGCTGGCAGGGGGAAGCAGCAGGAGCCTCACCCCTGCCGAAGAGGGCCCAGGAGAGGAGACAGCGGGCCCCCAGGCCCAGGGAAACACCACCCGCCCAGAAATGTGCAAAGGCCACAAGCCCGAGTCCCCATGTCCCTAGGTCAAGAGCGGGTCCCCACGCCAGATCGGTCATTTTCAGCGCAAGTGTTCAGCAGCCAAATGCACAGCAGAGCTGTTGACATTAACCTGCGTTAATATTAACATTTTAAAATAATTATATCAGCAGAGCAGAAGCTTGAACATGACTGCTGGATAAAATAAAAAACTTAAGTAAAGTTCTTACCTGCGCTGACATTACAGCACAGAACAAAGGCTAACAGGCAGCTGTAGATCTTCATCCTCATCCTCACACAGACTGAAGTGACTGATCAAACAAACACTGTTTAATTCTGAGAAAAGGATGTGTAAACCGGACATTATCGTCTTTGTCTTCTTGTGGTTAATGCCCACTGATGGTTAAGGTTATTTAAATATAGAGCATGATCAAATTTCCCTCTATTCTGTGCCAGTACAAGAAAGAACCTGAAATAACTGACTAAAAGACAAAGACATGATCACCTTATGAAGCTGTTATAACAAACATGGCAACAAACAGTCGACTACTTCCACAGAGCAACATTAGCATCCCATTGGAGAGGAGTTTGTGTCCATAACAGCTGAAAAAGGCAGAGAGCAGAGATGCTAAACAGGAAAACCACCTTTACACATAGAGAGCTAACCACACAGACAATAACGTCACGATCTAATGATGGCGACCTGTGGGAAAACATCCAGCTTGTTGTTAGCTGAGAACTGCTTGGTGTTTGTCTTTAAACTGGCTGCAAAATGTGACCACAGAAAGATGACTGCATGTCACAGTCTCCTTTTAAGGCATTTGAAGTCCACATGAATACTGTAGAAGAAAGCCAGGAAGCACAGGTGTCATGTATTTTCATCTGTCAAGTTTTCAGTTCTCATATGTTTATGTCTAAATTGTTTAACTTTAATAATGGTTTTATTCAAATGAGTCAAAGTGTGCCAATGATTTTGTGGGCTGAAATGACAAATGTTAATAGCATATTTTTTCAAACACTCAGCCTCCGGACTGACGGCTGGAGTATGGGACCAGAGACAAGGCAAAAGGGCAACTAGACTGGGGGCCAGCAACAGGCCTAGAGTTTGAGCAGGGGGACGGCAATGTGATTGTCTTTTAACTTACAACTTGCACCACCTTACCTGTCTGAGCTAATTACACCATAAACACCAGCAAGACGCCTGAACTCTCCCAATGCAGGTCTCCCTGTCACTCCTTTAATTTAATAAAGACGTTGCCTATTTATTATTGCTAACTTGACCACGGAGCCCTACATGTGCAAAAGTGAAGCCTGAGGGGTCTCTACCAAGCGTCCATATGTGTCAAGTTGGGGCCAAGAAGGTTTTGGGAAATCATGTCTTTATGTCATTTGGTTGTGGCTTCTGAAAACACACTTAAAAGGAAACAAGTACATGTGGAGGGTAGAAGCATCATATCTTATATGTGTACAAAGAAAACTATTAGATGTACTGTATTTATGCTTTTTTTTTAATGAAAGAAACCATGGCAAATACATTTCAGTGATTCTTGAGATCAGGAACAAAACAGGTTTTGATTTTCTAAAATAAAATCTTGATTATTTAAAAAAAAAAAAACTATGTATGCATCTTTGCCAAATGAGGCTTTGGCTGTGTAACCATGTCTTGGAACAACCTCCCAGTTTTCTTCATTAATTACATGTTTGCAGGAACAGCACTAGATTTTTGTCAACACCATCAGAAACATAGAAATGTCATTGAATTTAATTATTACAGATATTTTGACGCTGTTTCTTGGTTCTGCTAATAATATACATTTTTAAATGAGTCATATCACCTTTTAAAAGTTAGATTAGTCAATGTTCAATGGGTTTAAGTTCTATGGATTAACCAACTTAGCATTTAGTCTCCATAATGAACAGAGATACTTAGAAACATTAAAATTACATCTTTGAAACCTTTTGAAACTTTGAAAATGCAACAATTTTATAGAGTTTTTTAAAACAACTTCACTCCATCTGACGGTGGTGCCAAACTTGTAAGAAACAAAAAATATTTCATTCAAAATAAACATTGAACTCACAAATATTGTAACATTACAAGATGTGAAGAAAATACATTACATAACCAATTGTTTTTATGGATTAACATCACAAGGGAGGAGAGGAACTTTACAGGCAACAGACAATGAACATAAGCCCAAGTGCTGCTTACACATAAATTTTCTATGCACATTTAAGATTGTAAGTTGCAACTATTCTTAACAATAATGGAAAGCTGAGTGGCAGTAATAACAATGAACATAGGCAACACTCAGTCATCACAGAATATTATTAACAGTGAGGACACAAAAAGTGGTCCACATCTCAAGCACACTTATCTAGTGTTGTAGTACTTGAGACCGGTCTTGGTCTTAAGACCACTTTTTGATGGTCTTGTCTCAGACTCGACCGCCTTTGTACTCTGTCTTGAGGACTCAGGATTTTATTTCAAGACCAGTCAATACCGTAACTTTGGGAATATCAATAAATTGCTTTTGCATTGTCTGATTTGTTAACATCCTAACTTTGATTGGAAGTAAAACTTATTGCTTCAAATGCAGCCAATAACCCTAATTAAACATGTGTTGTTCCCGTTAACGACTGTCACAGCTCCCCACGATGTGTATGTTGATTTCAGCTCTTAGTGTTTGTATGTGGGGGTTTTAATGGGAATGTGGATCTTTCAGATCACTTTGAGAACTACCTATGAGCTTGTTCCACATTTTGTTGAGTGCCATGCAATGCAGGGAACTGGTCTTGGTCTTGATTCGGTCTCGCCTTCGACTGCTCTCAGCCCCTAAAAGTCTTGGTCTTGTCTCGGTCTCGATAAACTCTGGTCTTGGTCTTGACTTGGTCTCGGTTTGGGCGGTCTTGACTACAACACTTATCTTCCAAAACCACTGTCAAGGTTATGTAGCCTAAGGCAGGATAAGGTAAATGCTGCTTTCACTCACCAGGTAACACCACAATAGCGTCAGCCTCATGGGGCTCATTTTCTGGAACGTTCATTTCTGTAAGCTTGATTTATCCTCCTGCGTAGGATCGTGATCGGAGCGGAAAAGAGACATCAAGTTCTCCAAGCCAAAGATGAAAAACAATCCAGATAGTTCTCAGCGAAAGGTGCAGAAGCAGCATCTGTGATGGGGGTGCATCAGTGCCCAGTGCCCCTGCATGTCTGTGAAGGTACCATTAACGCAGAGGCATATTTTGGATTTTAGAGACAGATCAAGTTGACATCTCTTGCAGGGACATCCATGTCAGCAGGACAGTGCCAGGCCTCCTTCTGCACGGGCTGCAACAGCGCAGCTTCGTAGACACAGAGTGCTCGACCGGCCTACTGCCAGCCCAGATCTGCCTCCTATTGAAAATGTATGGCACCTCATGAAGAGGAGAATGAGACAAGGACAAATACAGACTGTTGAGCAGCTGAAGTTTTGTATCAAGCAAGAATGAGCAAAAATTCCACTTGCAGAACCGGCACATTAGTAGGCCTATCTTCACTTCGCAAATTATTAGAAGTGTAATTAAAAGGAAAGGTGATGTAACACACTGGGAAACATGTTGCATGCATGAAATTTGTTTTTATTTTTTCAAAATACAATTACCCTGGTCAGTAAAAGTGTTGAAACTAAAGGTTCATGTGAATTTACAAATCTCAGATCTTTCTTTTTATTGCATTTTGGAAAGTATCCCAACTTTCCTGAAAAGGGGAAACTAGTCGTCACAGTGTTGAAAGCTGGAGGACTTTTTACTGTCAGACTGTCTGAGGATGAACGCTGAACACGGCTCAGTTACTGCTCTCGTGTGATGGAGGATCATTTTCTGTTGCTGCTGTGTGTTGCCCCTGTGTCTGTCGAGCTGCAAGAGAGAGAAGATAAACATGGAGATGATTTTATTAACTTCTGTTGTTACTTTTCAACATTTAAAACATTGTATTTATGGTAATTATTAGTAACGTGTTGTGGTTATCAGTGACTTGCAACTCTGTTTGTTTGTTAGCAGAATGTCTCAAAGAAGACTTTTCAGTTTCAATGACACCTGGTAGAAAGTTGGGACAAGTGATTACTTTTGGTGCAGATCTAATAGTAGCAACAGTGCCACCATGTGGCCGTCTCTGAAGCACTTTACATTAGAGTTATAATTCCTGAGCTGTGATCTCCCCTCTTTTACCCTGATTTTGTACCACACACAAACTGAAACATATAATACTTAGATGAGCCTGGAAAAACATTTTATTACTATTTGGCGTATCTGACATAAACTGTACTAATTCTTCAATTTTAGATGACGTGACTGTGCTGGTCAATTTGATGACATTTACCTGTAGGTGGCGCTACAGCAACATGATAAACACTGTGAGGGCTTGCTAGTTGTTCAATATGAAAATTGTTATTTTTCAGATTTTAAAATCTTCTTTGAGATTATGATACAGAACTGCTGAATAGTTTCAGACACACAAAACCACCTGCAGGTCAAACTATATTCACCTTTTCTCCAGGAAGTGACAGTGATGCTGATATGATGATTAAACAGAGTATTCCAACCGCAATATGAACAGACGACCACAGGTAAAGAGCACCTGGAAGAGAAACAGACATGGTTTGTTTTACTTGGGAAGAAGGTGGTGTTACAGTCACGGTAACTCAATGCAGTTTCATTCATCTGTCGAGCTGAAAAAACTTGTTCCCAATGTTTACTTTCCACTTTCTCAGACAAATCAGCTCCACAACTACACTCACTATTAGAAACTGAAACCTTTGTGATTATAACAACTGACTTTGTGAAAATAGGGGGGAAATGTACAAGTCTGGCAGGCCGGTACTTTGTCTTAACTTTATTTTTATCCATATCCATAAAATTCCAAAAAGAAACATTAGTTTGTCACTGTCAGCCATATTTTTCGTGCATGTTCTGAATCATTACAATAACAGACTGTTGAGGAAGGCTCTGTATTCTGTGTCTGTTTTTTAGTGAAACAAAGTTAAATAAATGCAGGTTAAATCCCACTAAATGAGACATCTTTGCCACCTTCTGTTATAAAGTTGTACCTGCGTCAAGTGATGTTAGTAATGACACTGGGAAATCACTCCAAAACTGCTGCTCTATCCTGTGGTGTGCCACAGGGTTCGGGCCTGATTTTATTTATATTGTATATGCTCCCTTTAGGCAACATTATTAGTAATTTCAAGGGCATTTCTTATCACTGTTATGCTGATGACATCCAGCTGTATGTCTCTTTAGGGTCAGATGAGTATGACAAACTGACCACACTATGCAACTGCCTCACCGCCGTTAAAAGCTGGATGGCTAAAAAGTTCTTTGAAGTGAACACAGACAAGACTGAGGTCCTTATAGTTGCACCCGATAGCAAAGCTCCCTCGATCACTCAGCATACTGGATCACTTTCATCAGTAGTAAAATCAAATCATAGAAATCTGGATGTAATGTTTGACACATCAATGCACTTTGATCGAAATGTTAACATGTGTTTTTGCTTCATTTAAGAAACACTGCCAAGCTCAAATCTGTTGTTTCAAAACCAGAGTTTGAGATAATAATCCATGCTTTTATTTCCTCCCGCTTAGATTATTGCAACTCCCTTTTTACATCTCTTAGCAAGTCGTCCCTGGACTGTTTAAAAATGGTCCAAAGTGCTGCTGCAAGGCTGTTGACCAGGTCCAGCCATTCTGTCCTCTTTACATTGGGTCATTGTTAAATTTAGGATTCAATTCAAAGTGCTTGTTTTAACATACAGAGCGCTGCATGATCAGGGACCCGGGTACATCTCAGACATGCTGCACCCGTATTTTACCACTAGGCCTTTAAGATCTTCAGACCAAGGCCAACTAGCTGTACCGCGTACACGTCTAAAAACTAGTGGTTGCACCAACACTGTGGAATACTCTTCCCTCAGACCTACGCTCTCAGGTCTCAGACTTTTTTATTTAAACAGCCTTTTGTCTCCCTGTAAACTTTTAACTGTGAATAGTCTCTTTAAAATACAAAATGCCTTAACTGTTATTATTTATGCGTCTTTCAACACAATTACATTGATTATATTGACTGATGCCTTTATAATTTTTGATGCTTATTTATGACTGATTGCTCCACTGTTTTATTGTTGCTTTTGTTTAGTATTGTTTTTTTATTGTTTTTTTTTTAGTTTTTTTTGTAAAGCACTTTGTGACTTGCTCTGTGACAGGTGCTATATTAAATACATTTTACTTACTTTACTTAATTACAAAGGATTGTGGATAATCCTCAAAGCAACGGAGGTTTTGCTGCTAGGAAAGGCGTCCGCGGACTAAACAATGTTAAGTTAAGTTAAGCTAGCTTTATGTGCTAGCTGTATTTTTTAAGTTAACCGTTTATTTTATGTGTTGTATAGCCAGGAGGTAATCTCTTGACTATAACTAGCTAACTTTAACATGATGCCGCTTTTCCAGACAGAGCATGTGCTGTTTGTCGCGCTGTTTTGATTCTAGAGTGTGATAATGTGGGAATATTTAAACATGAAGTTGTTTCTTTTCTATTCTATTGTTTATTTGCCTCATGTATTTTTATGTTCTAATAAAGTTACATAATTGTTTATGCATAACTGTGTAATATAAAATGTATGTTAAAAAAGGTAACAGTGCAGGAAATCTGTGTAAATACATTTGGTACATGTTCATTTTTTCTCACAATATAAATTGTGTTGTTTCATTTATTTAGTTTAAATGAACTTAAATCTACTCTACGATCAATGTGTCAGTGTATTGTGCTTTTGAGTTTTAAGATAGTCCACCCTGGACAGGTCGCCAGTTACGTCATCTTCTTCTCATGGTTTTGGGTTGTTTGGTGAAACTTTTTTTCTTTAATGTCATCATACCTGTGTTTACTAGAGGTGTGGATGGTGCAGTTGTTGCTGCTGGAAGAGGTTCAGATGTGGTTTGTCTTGTTAGAGGTGGAGGAGTTGTTGTTGTTGTTGTTGGTTCCTTACGACCTTTAGTGAAGGATGGAGGAAACAATTTAGAGCTGATGCCACGACATGTCCAGCCTCTGTAACTCACTGCACTCTCTAATTCAGCATTTTGTTCGTCTGTCGATCTGAAAAAATGTGTTCCTGAGGTTTGCTTTCCACATTCTACAGCACAGTAGTAAAGTTCATACTTTTACTCTACTACATATTGTAAATGGTAAACCATGAGCTGAAAGGGAATGTGATATACGCCTGTAGTATCAAAGTTAAACCTGTTCTGCATTAGCTGATTTTTACAGATTACCAATCGATGGAGCTTGACGGGAACACAGTTAATAAGTAACGTCAATTTATGTCACTTGTTTTCATTAAAATCTTTAACACCAAGGCCACGGCTGAGAGTTCAGGGGTGTGAACACTTAACAAAGAAACGTTTTTACACTGACGTGTGTGTTTTGTGCCAAAGAGTAAAGCTGAAGTTTTATATTTTCTTTGCTCTGGGTTGTGTTTTTGGGTCAGAACCTGCACGTTCTGAATCATCACAACAACATACTGTTGAGAAAGGCTCTGTTCTACGGCTTTATTTTTAGTTTTAAGTAGAGTTTAAAAAGTTTCCTTCTCTCTTCAGCTCTCCTTACAGAAATAGATATTACAACATCTTTAATACGTCACAAAATGATTCACGTGATTGAAAAACGAACTACACCACGTCCATTTTGGTTGAGACTCAAAACTAAAACCACTCCCCAACTTACTACACGTAATTAACTAAACTAACAAAATTAAAAACAAAAGGATAAACTGAAACTTATTTATTCATAGTGAAAACAGAACATGTTACCTGGGAGCACCGTCAGCTCCACAGCTGCTTCATTATTACAGAAGTATGTTCCAGCGTCTGAGACGACAGCTCTGCTGATGTGAAGTGACTTATCTGCTGATGAACTGTATCGTTTCAGTGGGTCATGAATGTGTCTTATGTCTCTTTCTCCATCAACTGTATGTATGTCAACTCTGTTTCCGTTTGTCTCTCTGCTCCACGTCACTTTACCCTCCACAGGGTGAGGACATGGCAGAGTGATGGAGTCCTTCTGCCTGATTATTTTCTGCTTTTTCTCTGTAAAAGAAAAAAATTTCAATAAATTTACCTGTTTTAAGAGATGCAGTATTTCTGCTATTGTAACTCTGATCTATATTCACCATTAGAGACAGAATAACATCAATATGTCCAATGCAGTGGAAACACATTGAAGAAGGCAGCTGTTCTCCACCAAACAGCTGACTGTCCTCTTCCAGGATTGGCGAGAAATTTTATTTAAATCTAATGTGTTTCTAATCCATCTACAATTTCATTTACAAAGCCATGAGCACATTTTTGTCAGGATTGTGAAATATATTTGTTGAGATATTCCATATTAAGATTCAAATGAATGAATAAAGCTGTTGACATTAAGCTGTGTTAATATTATAAAATCATTGTATCAGCAGAGCAGCAGCTTCACTGCTGGTTAACAGGTAGTGTTTATAAAATGGTTAGTTCATACTCGTTGACAAAGAAAATTCTTACCTGCGCTGACATTACAGCCCAGGATAAAGACTAACAGCCAGCTGTAGATCTTCATCCTCATCCTCACACAGACTGAAGAGACTGAACAAACCAACACTGTTTCATTCTGAGGTGAGAAAAGAAACTCAGCTGCCTGCATGTGTAAACCCCATTTTGTTTGGTATCCTGTGGTTAATGAACACTGGCCCTTACTGACTAAAATGCGAAGACATCATCACCTTATGAAGCTGTTGTGCCAAACATGTGAACAAACTGTCGGCTACTTCCACATCCAGCAGACACAGAGCAACAAATATCATCAGATTGGAGAGGAGTTTGTGTCCAAAGAGCAGCAACGGCCATCACAGTTAAAAACTAAACTAAACGCAGAGAGCAGACATCTTAAATAGGAAAAAAAAATAAAGTTTTCAGCTGCCTAGAGAGCTCATCACACAGATAATAACGTCATGCTCTAACGATGGTGAAGGAAAAACATACAACTTGTTGTTAGGTGACAACAGTTGTTTTCTCTCTGGGGCGATATATTATTTTTACTATAGTGACAGTGTTTGTATTTAAGCTTAAGCTCGATAGTAATGGAAATGTGAATGAATGTTTTGTAATGTTGTCTTATCTCATGTGTAAGTAGGTGATTGGTGCAGACAAACATGTCACTTCCTACAAAGTTTGTCTTCTCAGGATGTAACACCATTTGCCCGACAAAGGCAGTAACGAAACATTGCCTGCATATAAATATATTTTGCAAGTTAGACAGTGTGCGGGAGTTTATATGCAGCTTCTGACCTACTTTCCCCCCACCTGTCTCAATTTATAGAGGTGCAAAGAAATGTTCTGTTCTGAAGGCATTGTAAGGAACACATCAGAATAAGCTGAAAGCAAGAGGAAAGAGGTGGGTGATGACGGAGTCCTTCTGCCTGATTATTTTCTCCTTTTTCTCTGTAAAAGAAAAAAATTTCAATAAATTTACCTGTTTTAAGAAAAGCAGTATTTCTGCTATTGTAACTCTGATCTATATTCACCATTAGAGACAGAATAACATCAATATGTCCAATGCAGTGGAAACACATTGAAGAAGGCAGCTGTTCTCCACCAAACATCTGACTGTCCTCTTCCAGGATTGGTGAGAAATTTTATTTAAATCTAAGCTTTAAGGTCTCAACATCACACAGCAGTTTCATAAGTGAACGAATGAAACTGCTCTGAGCTTTATTTGAATCTGAATGTGGAAAATGTCAAAGAACAACATATTCTGTAACTTGGGATCTACACATGGTCAAACATGTAGATACATTACTCTGGATTAGACTTAAATTAAATATAACTGCGATGTAAAGTGCTCTGTAGACAACCACATGGTGGCATTGTTGCTCCTCTCTATCGGTACTAAATCTAATCACTTGTCCCAGGGCTAAACTTTCCTTTTCAGTAGAGGTTGATGCAGAGCTCTACAAACTAAAAGACTGTTACACTGAACAACATATAGTGAGACAGAATAACTGATGTACTTACTAGAAGTAAGTAGTGATACTACGTTCTATGCATAGCAAGCTATATGTTCAGTCATTTATTTTAACGCCATGTGTTTTGCAGGACTTACAGCTGAAAATAGACGGAGCACTGCTCTGAAATAAATTTTATGATTGTGTAACGGGTGTGTTTCCCTCCTTTGCCCAAAACCCAAAATATAGACTGAGCAACTTCATATCGGATAATTTTGAGTGTTTTGTTATTTGTTAAACTGATTTTGCTTTTTTTTGCGCTTTAGAGATGATGATGATTAAGTGATCATTTACTACAGTACTCTTAATAAGGCCAACAAGACGTGCATTCAGTTGGAAGCTTTGCGGAAATGTTACAGGTCCAAGTTATAAAATGAGAGTCAATTAATTTTATCACCATTTCACGTGTCACATTAAACTCAAGTCTAATAATCCACTGAGAAACTCTCCATATGTTAACATTTATTTTCACACAGCATTTCTGTTATTGCTTTGATGTTTTGCACTCATTTCAGCGGAATACAGATTTTAAAAAAGGAGACGTTACAAAGCTCATGTGGCGCTAAGAACAATGTGAATACATAAACACAAAGCACCACTAAACTCTGAGTTCATTTGTACTTAATAGGTTCTCAAAAATAGAAATAAGGAATGAAGAGGAAATTAATTTCTGTGGGTTAAGTTAAGAGCATTGTGAGCAGTGAGGTACCAAGCAAAAACACATGTAATAACTGGAAAGCACAGAATCCTCTGAATGTGTTACTTCAATAATATAATATCTCTCATTGTCACGCCAGCTGAATGAAAGCAGGTAACAAAAGGCAAACCCAAAAAACCCCCCCAAAAAATGTTCTTCTTTCTGATTTATGTTGTTCAATTTCAGTTTACAGAAGGAGGAGAGTCTCTGATGGGTTCTGACTTCTGATGAACTTGGACCTTTAGCTAAATTCCACAAAGCTGTTTGATCCAAGTTCTTCTGTCTTTGTTGTACCCCACTGTTATACTGAATGTATGTATACGTGTCATTTTACTTATACACTTGGCAAAGGAAAACACTGTGCACATGAAAAACATGCAAAGCAACAAAAAGAAGATTATTCAACATATAGCCGAGCTTTTTACAGATTACAATGTAATCATGAACACTTTCATAGGTAAATGTAATTTAACAACACATTTTTTCCCAGTTACTGTAAGAGATTACTGTTACATTTATTTTGTAATTTAATTACGTAACTAAATAACATGTAACAAGTTACTCCTCCACACTGTGCGTGAGACATCAGCATGTGCAGCCATGTGCAGGACCACAATCAAACTACTTGAAACGGTCTGTGTCACTTATAGACTACTAGTCACAGTGTTGAAAGCTGGAGGACTTTTTACTGTCAGACTGTCTGAGGATGAACGCTGAACACGGCTCAGTTACTGCTCTCCTGTGATGGAGGATCATTTTCTGTTGCCTCTGTGTCTGTCAAGCTGCAAGAGAGAGAAGATAAACATGGAGATGATTTTATTAACTTCTGTTGTTACTTTTCAACATTTAAAACATTGTATTTATGGTAATTATTAGTAACGTGTTGTGGTTATCAGTGACTTGCAACTCTGTTTGTTTGTTAGCAGAATGTCTCAAAGAAGACTTTTCAGTTTCAATGACACCTGGTAGAAAGTTGGGACAAGTGATTACTTTTGGTGCAGATCTAATAGTAGCAACAGTGCCACCATGTGGCCGTCTCTGAAGCACTTTACATTAGTTATAATTCCTGAGCTGTGATCTCCCCTCTTTTACCCTGATTTTGTACCACACACAAACTGAAACATATAATACTTAGATGAGCCTGGAAAAACGTTTTATTACTATTTGGCGTATCTGACATAAACTGTACTAATTCTTCAATTTTAGATGACGTGACTGTGCTGGTCAATTTGATGACATTTACCTGTAGGTGGCGCTACAGCAACATGATAAACACTGTGAGGGCTTGCTAGTTGTTCAATATGAAAATTGTTATTTTTCAGATTTTAAAATCTTCTTTGAGATTATGATACAGAACTGCTGAATAGTTTCAGACACACAAAACCACCTGCAGGTCAAACTATATTCACCTTTTCTCCAGGAAGTGACAGTGATGCTGATCATGATGATTAAACAGAGTATTCCAACCGCAATATGAACAGACGACCACAGGTAAAGAGCACCTGGAAGAGAAACAGACATGGTTTGTTTTACTTGGGAAGAAGGTGGTGTTACAGTCACGGTAACTCAATGCAGTTTCATTCATCTGTCGAGCTGAAAAAACTTGTTCCCAATGTTTACTTTCCACTTTCTCAGACAAATCAGCTCCACAACTACACTCACTATTAGAAACTGAAACCTTTGTGATTATAACAACTGACTTTGTGAAAATAGGGGGGGGGGGGATGTACAAGTCTGGCAGGCCGGTACTTTGTCTTAACTTTATTTTTATCCATATCCATAAAATTCCAAAAAAGAAACATTAGTTTGTCACTGTCAGCCATATTTTTCGTGCATGTTCTGAATCATTACAATAACAGACTGTTGGGGAAGGCTCTGTACTCTGTGTCTGTTTTTTAGTGAAACAAAGTTAAATAAATGCAGATTAAATCCCACTAAATGAGACATCTTTGCCACCTTCTGTTATAAAGTTGTACCTGCGTCAAGTGATGTTAGTAATGACACTGGGAAATCACTCCAAAACTGCTGCTCTATCCTGTGGTGTGCCACAGGGTTCGGGCCTGATTTTATTTATATTGTATATGCTCCCTTTAGGCAACATTATTAGTAATTTCAAGGGCATTTCTTATCACTGTTATGCTGATGACATCCAGCTGTATGTCTCTTTAGGGTCAGATGAGTATGACAAACTGACCACACTATGCAACTGCCTCACCGCCGTTAAAAGCTGGATGGATAAAAAGTTCTTTGAAGTGAACACAGACAAGACTGAGGTCCTTATAGTTGCACCCGATAGCAAAGCTCCCTCGATCACTCAGCATACTGGATCACTTTCATCAGTAGTAAAATCAAATCATAGAAATCTGGGTGTAATGTTTGACACATCAATGCACTTTGATCGACATGTTAACATGTGTTTTTGCTTCATTTAAGAAACACTGCCAAGCTCAAATCTGTTGTTTCAAAACCAGAGTTTGAGATAATAATCCATGCTTTTATTTCCTCCCGCTTAGATTATTGCAACTCCCTTTTTACATCTCTTAGCAAGTCGTCCCTGGACTGTTTAAAAATGTTCCAAAGTCCTGCTGCAAGGCTGTTGACCAGGTCCAGCCATTCTGTCCTCTTTACATTGGGTCATTGTTAAATTTAGGATTCAATGCAAAGTGCTTCTTTTAACATACAGAGCGCTGCATGATCTGGGACCCGGGTACATCTCAGACATGCTGCACCTGTATTTTACCACTAGGCCTTTAAGATCTTCAGACCAAGGCCTACTAGCTGTACCGCGTACACGTCTAAAAACTAGTGGTTGCACCAACACTGTGGAATACTCTTCCCTCAGACCTACGCTCTCAGGTCTCAGACTTTTTTATTTAACCCTTTGTCTCCCTGTAAACTTTTAACTGTGAACAGTCATGTTCTCTTTAAAATACAAAATGCCTTAATTTTGATTATTTATGCGTCTTTCAACACAATCACATTGGTTATATTGACTGATGTCTTTATAATGTTTGATGCTTATTTATGACTGATTGCTTCACTGTTTTATTGTTGCTTTTGTTTTGTATTGTTTTTTTAGTTTTTTTTGTAAAGCACTTTGTGACTTGCTCTGTGACAGGTGCTATATTAAATACATTTTACTTACTTTACTTAATTACAAAGGATTGTGGATAATCCTCAAAGCAACGGAGGTTTTGCTGCTAGGAAAGGCGTCCGCGGACTAAACAATGTTAAGTTAAGTTAAGCTAGCTTTATGTGCTAGCTGTATTTTTTAAGTTAACCGTTTATTTTATGTGTTGTATAGCCAGGAGGTAATCTCTTGACTATAACTAGCTAACTTTAACATGATGCCGCTTTTCCAGACAGAGCATGTGCTGTTTGTCGCGCTGTTTTGATTCTAGAGTGTGATAATGTGGGAATATTTAAAGTTATCTTCTATTGTTTATTTGCCTCATGTATTTTTATGTTCTAATAAAGTTACATAATTGTTTATGCATAACTGTGTAATATAAAATGTATGTTAAAAAAGGTAACAGTGCAGGAAATCTGTGTAAATACATTTGGTACATGTTCATTTTTTCTCACAATATAAATTGTGTTGTTTCATTTATTTAGTTTAAATGAACTTAAATCTACTCTACGATCAATGTGTCAGTGTATTGTGCTTTTGAGTTTTAAGATAGTCCATCCATCCATCTTCAACCGATTATCCTGCGTACAGGGTCGTGGGGGGCTGGAGCCAATCCCAGCTGACATCGGGCGAAAGGCGGGGTCCACCCTGGACAGGTCGCCAGTTACGTCATCTTCTTCTCATGGTTTTGGGTTGTTTGGTGAAACTTTTTTTCTTTAATGTCATCATACCTGTGTTTACTAGAGGTGTGGATGGTGCAGTTGTTGCTGCTGGAAGAGGTTCAGATGTGGTTTGTCTTGTTAGAGGTGGAGGAGTTGTTGTTGTTGGTTCCTTACGACCTTTAGTGAAGGATGGAGGAAACAATTTAGAGCTGATGCCACGACATGTCCAGCCTCTGTAACTCACTGCACTCTCTAATTCAGCATTTTGTTCATCTGTTGATCTGAAAAAATGTGTTCCTGAGGTTTTCTTTCCACATTCTACAGCACAGTAGTAAAGTTCATACTTTTACTCTACTACATATTGTAAATGGTAAACCATGAGCTGAAAGGGAATGTGATATACGCCTGTAGTATCAAAGTTAAACCTGTTCTGCATTAGCTGATTTTTACAGATTACCAATCGATGGAGCTTGACGGGAACACAGTTAATAAGTAACGTCTATTTATGTCACTTGTTTTCATTAAAATCTTTAACACCAAGGCCACGGCTGAGAGTTCAGGGGTGTGAACACTTAACAAAGAAACGTTTTTACACTGACGTGTGTGTTTTGTGCCAAAGAGTAAAGCTGAAGTTTTATATTTTCTTTGCTCTGGGTTGTGTTTTTGGGTCAGAACCTGCACGTTCTGAATCATCACAACAACATACTGTTGAGAAAGGCTCTGTTCTACGGCTTTATTTTTAGTTTTAAGTAGAGTTTTAAAAAAGTTTCCTTCTCTCTTCAGCTCTCCTTACAGAAATAGATATTACAACATACTAACAAAATTAAAAATAAAAGGATAAACTGAAACTTATTTATTCATAGTGAAAACAGAACATGTTACCTTGGAGCACCGTCAGCTGCACAGCTGCTTCATTATTACAGAAGTATGTTCCAGCGTCTGAGACGGCAGCTCTGCTGATGTGAAGTGACTTATCTGCTGATGAACTGTATCGTTTCAGTGGGTCATGAATGTGTCTTATGTCTCCGTCTCCATCAACTGTAAGTATGTCAACTCTGTTTCCGTTTCTCTCTCTGCTCCACGTCACTTTACCCTCCACAGGGTGAGGACATGGCAGAGTGATGATGGAGTCCTTCTGCCTGATTATTTTATGCTTTTTCTCTGTAAAAGAAAAACATTTTTCAATAAATGTACCTGTTTTAAGAAAAGCTGTATTTCTGCAATTGTGAGCAACTCTGATCTATGTTCACCATTAGAGACAGAATAACATCAATATGTCCAATGCAGTGGAAACACATTGAAGAAGGCAGCTGTTCTCCACCAAACAGCTGTGTGAGGGATTTTCAAAACAAAATAAAGTTGGATCCCTGACTGTCCTCTACCCGGCTCTACCAGAATATTGGTGTCAGATTTAATTTAAACCTAATTTAGTCTAATCCAGAGTTCTTTTTCTAGAAAGACATGGATCCCAAGTTATAAAATATGTTGTTTGTTGACATATTCAGCTAAGCTTCAAAGTAAGCTTGGCCATCTGTAGTTTACTTATGAAGCTGCTACATAAATCTAATATATTATAACTAAGGTTCTCCTTTTGTGTGGCCGTGAAAGTTAAAAAGTCTTATCGGTCTTTTTTTTTTTTTTTTTTTTAAACCTGTCCTGCCCAGCAGCCTGGTATAGAGTATGATGACCTGGATACCATATTGTGCCAGACAGATTTTACTTTAACAAGAGAGTATTAGCAGCTGCATGCCACCAACAACCCACCCACCTGTCAAGGGCCGAGAACTCCAGGCACAAACCCAGAACAAACCGGAGCACAGCCCTGCCCCGCACCCACACTGCACATCCCGAAAACTAACTATATACCTCAGTATCCAGAGGGGTCCAACAACTGGCCGACAGAGAAATGGGGAAGCACGGATTCGAGGCCAACGAAGCAAAACAGGGACGCAAACTTGTCCCTCCAAGCCAACAAGGAAATGACTCCCCCGGACTCCAATGCACAAACTAAACGCCCAGCAGCCATTCAGAGACCCTGCCCAGGGAAAAAGCACAACAATCGCCCCACAATCCCACCGCAGCCCACCAAGCTGCAATCGGATCAACCCGCGCAGAGACCCCCACCCCCAGAAGCCAGGGCACCCTGCGACACCCCAAAGCACAAAGGACCCCAGACCGCATGTCCCGGGGGAAGCTGTACCCCGCCCCAAGGAAGAACAGCAGAAAGCCGTGCCGGGAAGCTCCCTGCCGCCAGGGAGCGATAACGCGGGAGAACCAGGCCAACGGTCCCCCAGCCCAGCCAGAGGCATCCCTCCCCAGAGTGCAGGCAGTGCCAGCAGCCCCCGAGGCCGATATCATCCCTGGACGGGGGCCCAGCCCCCCAAGTCAAGCACCCCCAAGGAGGAGCACCAAAACATACCCTGACAACGCAGGCCATGCGCCCCAGAGACTCCCAAATGCCCCCACTGTGAGAGAGCTGGCAGGGGGAAGCAGCAGGAGCCTCACCCCTGCCGAAGAGGGCCCAGGAGAGGAGACAGCGGGCCCCCAGGCCCAGGGAAACACCACCCGCCCAGAAATGTGCAAAGGCCACAAGCCCGAGTCCCCATGTCCCTAGGTCAAGAGCGGGTCCCCACGCCAGATCGGTCATTTTCAGCGCAAGTGTTCAGCAGCCAAATGCACAGCAGAGCTGTTGACATTAACCTGCGTTAATATTAACATTTTAAAATAATTATATCAGCAGAGCAGAAGCTTGAACATGACTGCTGGATAAAATAAAAAACTTAAGTAAAGTTCTTACCTGCGCTGACATTACAGCACAGAACAAAGGCGAACAGGCAGCTGTAGATCTTCATCCTCATCCTCACACAGACTGAAGTGACTGATCAAACAAACACTGTTTAATTCTGAGAAAAGGATGTGTAAACCGGACATTATCGTCTTTGTCTTCTTGTGGTTAATGCCCACTGATGGTTAAGGTTATTTAAATATAGAGCATGATCAAACTTCCCTCCATTCTGTGCCAGTACAAGAAAGAACCTGAAATAACTGACTAAAAGACAAAGACATGATCACCTTATGAAGCTGTGGTAACAAACAGTCGACTACTTCCACAGAGCAACATTAGCATCCCATTGGAGAGGAGTTTGTGTCCATAACAGCTGAAAAAGGCAGAGATGCTAAACAGGAAAACCACCTTTACACATAGAGAGCTAACCACACAGACAATAACGTCACGATCTAATGATGGCGACCTGTGGGAAAACATCCAGCTTGTTGTTAGCTGAGAACTGCTTGGTGTTTGTCTTTAAACTGGCTGCAAAATGTGACCACAGAAAGATGACTGCATGTCACAGTCTCCTTTTAAGGCATTTGAAGTCCACATGAATACTGTGGAAGAAAGCCAGGAAGCACAGGTGAGTCTGTGGATTTACATTACTTATGTAATTACCTCAAAGCGACTTACAATTGCTATATATGTCAGAAGTCACACCCCTCTGGAGCAACTAAGGGTTAAGTGTCTTGCTCAGGGACACAGTAGTGGATGTGCCACAGTGGGAATTGAGCCCGGGTCTCTCACACCAAAGGCAGGCATCTTATCCACTGCGCCATCGCATGCCACGTAACTTAATAGTTGTGGTCCTGGTACCTAAGCCCTGGGGTGCAGGACTTGGGGGGGGCAAGTATACCTTCAAGTGAGTGGGACCCACAAAGATACTAGAATGAATAGCTGTGGATGTGGGGAGGGGCCAATAAAGAATGACTATGTACAGGGTCCAGAATTTCGTGCTACGCCTCTGCCTAAACCCAACCAAACTGCCACGTTTCACAACGTGAACCACTAGTTTTATTTTGAAAGGCTAACCGGACGTTGCCTATTTATTATTGCTAACTTGACCACGGAGCCCTACGTGTGCAAAAGTGACTCTTGAGGGGTCCATATGTGTAAAGCTGGGAGTGAGAACGTTTTGGGAAATCATGTCTTTGTGGCATTTGGTTGTGGCTTCTGAAAACATGTGGAGGGTAGAAGCATCATATCTTATATGTGTACAAAGAAAACTTAGACGTACTGTATATATGCTTTTTTTAATGATTAAAAACATGGCCAGGTTTTGATTTTCTACAAAACTCTGTCAAGAAACAACCTCCCAGTTTTCTTCATTAATTACATGTTTGCAGGATCAGCACTAGATTTTTGTCAAAACCATCAGAAACATAGAAATGTCTATAAAATAATTTTAAATGAACCTTTTTAAAGTTAGATTAGTCAATGTGTAATGGTTACGGTTTAGGTTATATGTAATAAATATCTAAGAGATACTTGGAAGCATTGAAATTACACATTAACTTTGAAAATGCAACAATTTTATAGACAAATACTGTGGAACAAAACAGAAAGAGTTGACAAACACTGACGGTGGTGACAAAGTTGTAAGAAACAGAAAAATATTTCATTCAAAATGACCAATGAACTAACAAACACTGTAACATTACAAGATAGAAAAGACTTTATATAACCAATATTCTTTTGGATTAACATCTCAAGGGAGCAGAGGAACTTTACAGGCAACAGAGAACATAACCCTATGGTCAAGTCCACAACCTCTTTAAATATATATGCTGCTTGTAAACTACAAACCCCATTTCCAGAAAAGTTTGGATACAGAAAATACAGAAAAAGTTTTAATTTGTTAAATCATGTGAACCTTTATTTGATTTAAATTTTGAGTTTCAGTAGTTTTACTGACCAGCATAATCGTATTTTGTAAAGTTAGAATTTTATGCCTGCATCAAACTCAACAAAACCCTTTTTACTCCCCTCCAGCTCTCTGTAGCTCAGACAATCCCTGCTACCTGCGTGTGCTAAACCGTTCTTTCACCCAGATTCTTTGTCTTTATAAGAACAAACAACAGATGTTTCGTGTGTAGTTTCACGTCATTTCGCCTGCCACGTTTCACGTGTGTTTTCTTGACAAAACGTGGTTATGAGACCAGCCCTCGGGTGACAGAGTTGTTGTCTAATAGCGTACTGTGTGACCTCCTGTCACCGATAAGTCACGGAGTGGGAACGACGGCGAGACTCCCGACACAAGCTGGCAAGTTGTGTAGTCTGAACAGCCCAGCGATCTGCCGACATTGAAAGTCATGTAGTCTGCAGGGTCGGGGCTCCTTTGTGCCAATATTGGTGAACATCCAGAAATGCAACCTGAATAATACAAGGAGGAATCCACACATCAGTGGTAGGCAGAGACGCTGGCGACTTTTCTGGGCCTGAGTTCATCTCAGATGGAACAAAAGACAGTGACCATCCAGATTGTTCTCAGTAAAAGTTGCAAAAGCAGTATCTGTGATGGTATGAAAAGGTGGAATTAAAAGGAAAGGTGATGTAACACAATGCCTCTGTCCCAACTAACTTATTTTTACAAAATACTATTACAATTACCCTGGTCAGTAAAACTATTGAAACTAAAGGTTTGTGTGAATTTACAAATCCCAGATCTTTGTTTTTATTGCATTTTGGAAAGTATCCCAACTTTTCTGAAAAAGGGAAACTAGTCGTCACAGTGTTGAAAGCTGTCTGAGGATGAACGCTGAACACGGCTCAGTTACTGCTCTCGTTTCTGTGTGATGGAGGATCATTTTCTGTTGCTGCTGTGTTGCCTCTGTGTCTGTCGAGCTGCAAGAGAGAGAAGATAAACATGGAGATGATGGACGAGATGTGATCTGCGCTGATCAATTTGATCAATTTGACCTGTAGATGGCGCTACAGCAACATGATAAGTTGAAATGCCCAAAATGCACTCACTAGTGTGACTCAGTTACATTTTGCACAATTCACCTTTGTACAAAGCCGAAGTATAAACACTGTGAGGGCGTGCTAGTTGTTGAAAATCAAATTATTTCTTGACTTATTTTCCAAATATTGAAATCTTCTTTGAGTTTCTAAACATTACTGATTATGATACAGAGTATTTTCAGACCCACAAAACCACCTGCAGGTCAAACTATGTTCAACTTTTCTCCAGGAAGTGACAGTGATGCTGAGTATGATGATTAAACAGAGTATTCCAACCACAATATGAACAGCTGTTTCCCACATGTAAGGATCAGCTGGAAGAGGAACAGACATGGTTTGTTTTACTTGGGAAGAAGGTGGTGTTGAAGTCACTGTAACTCAATTTCATTCATCTGTCGAGCTGAAAAACCTGTTCCTGAGGTTTCCTCTCCACTTTCTCAGACAAAATACTTTTTGCTGTGTTTTTATGAAGTTCATTTTGTTCATTCTGCTAACTTTAACACGATGCCGCCTTTCCTGACAGAGCATGCGCTGCTTGTCGCGCTGTTTTGATTCTACACTATTGTCCTTTGTCAGAAATGCAGGTGCGTTGTTCTAAAGAGTGTGGTAATATTTAAACATGAAGACGAGTTATCTTCTATTGTTCATTCGCCTCATGTATCTTATATTGTAATAAAGTTACATAATTGTTTTTGCATAACTGTGTAACATAAATGGAAAAGTGTATTTTAAAAACAAGGTAAATACATTTGGTTACTTTCTTTTTTAAGAGGGACAAATTATGTTGTTTCATTTATTTAGTTTTAATGAACTTAAATCCACTATATGATCAATGTGTCGGTGTGTCAGTGTATTGTCCTAAGAAAAGTACATACTGTAATCCAAAAAGCAACGCAGAATTAATGCAGAAGTGGGATAAACCTGCTGTTCCTACAAACCCACAAGCTCTGAGAGATTCAGTTAAACAGGAGAGACAGAGTGACGTCTTCTTACTTCCCAGAAGTTGCAACAATGGATTCCTATATTTCAACTTTTTTTATTCTCTAAACGGAAACTTTGTGCTCTCAGATTATTTCATTCCAAAGCAGCTGTGATGTACCTGTTGATGAGAAACAGAATTCAGTTTTGTTCCAGTTATCTAAACTTTTAAAGTTAGTTTTTGTTGATGTGCCATTTGCTCTCCTTTTTAAGCTCAATTAGGAAATCGTACTTTATTTAATTTAACACATTAAATTCCTCCCACCCAGTGTTAAAGATATATAATGATTAAAGTCACCTTTTTCATTTCCATCAGGCTTTGGTTTCCCAAATCAAAGAATATGGCTCCTCATTCGCTAGAGTTGTGTCTGTCAGAAGATATAATATGTAATTAATATAAACAGTAACAAGCATCTAGAATATTTGGTTAAAATGTGTGTTGATGAGCGGTCAGGCTTTACCTGTACTGTTTCCCGTCTGTGGGGGGTTGTGGATAAAATTTGCATAAAAGGAGCTATTTTGACTCGAGCCATCTAAATTTTAAAACATTGCCAAAACGCATTTATTAACCAGAACAAATAGTGGGAGATTGTGCTGTTGGCTACAGAGAAAAACAATAAATGACACTGGTGCGACACAGTGTACGAAATATTTGAATCATCTTCTATTTGTGAGTTATTATGAGGTGTTTTTTGAATCCTAATGATGAAAGTCTCTATAAATTATAAATAAAATCCCTACTAACATAGTTAGTGGACAGAGCCATGATGACTGGATGTGCTTAGCATCATGGAGGAGGAAGACTTCCGGGAGATAAAAGCGGAGCAACGTCATCAGTCGGCGCCCAGCTATGACGAACTCCTGTAGGTGGTGACACGGGCAGTGAGCAAGCTCCAGCTCGATTGGCCGCAGGATGTACCAGAGACACATGCCATGAGTAAGCTGGATGAGCGCTTTCTGCAGCGCCGTTTTTTTCCGGACTTGCATGACGAGTTGTGCAAGTCCTGGGGCAAACCCTTCTCAGCACGTCTGACTACTCCCCCGCTCCGGGTCTACAGCGACGTAGCGGGGGTCAAGGGCTTCGGCTATGGGATGATGCCCCGGGTTGAGGATGCTTTGGCTAGCTATCTCTCGCCCGGTCATGATCATCCCTCGCTCGTGTTTATACCGGGGGCCCCCCCCGAGAGAGGGCGACCGAGTTTCCCTCCCTCGTGGCAGCTCAGGCAATGGGCGCAGTTATCCAAGCGAGGCCGCTCCATCACTGTGAAGCACTTTCAGAGAGTGTTGGGTCTCAGGACAGCAGCGTCAAGCGTAATCCCTGCTGCACATGAGAGCCCTGCCGTGGTGGTTGAAATCCAAGGGATTCTCCCCGAGGGGAAATCCGTTCCGTCTGATACGAGTTACGAGCAGGTGCCTTCGTTCGCTGTCAGTATGGAGGAAACCTTGGTTCCTGTCCCAGGGTCCCGTGTTGGGAGCGCCATGTCACCGGGAAATTATTTCGACAGACGCCTCACTCACGGGGTGGGGCGCGGTCATGGGCGGCCGCTTTGCGATGAACGGCGGCGGTGGTGGCCTATTTGAATCACCGGGGGGGTCTGCACTCGCGCCCATTATGCAAACTGGCACATCAGAACCTCCTGTGGTCCCAGCAGAGACTGCTGTCCCTCAGAGCGATGTATGTCCCTGGGACCCAGAATCAGGGAGCAGACCTGCTGTCGAGACAGGGGCTGAGGCCCGGGGAATGGAGACTCCACCCCGAGCTGGTGGAGCTATTGTGCAAAAGGATCGGCCCTATTCTCTGCTGGCCTTTCCCCATCTACACTCAAGGCGTTCCACACCCCTCTGAGGGATGGGCCTCTGGGGAGGCTTCCACTGGTCGTGCGCTTCCTCCGTGGAGCCCGGAGGATGAGACCCGTGACTCGTTCCAGGGTTCTCACTTGGGACATGGCGGTGGTTCTCGAAGCGCTGGCTGAGGCCCCCTTCGAAACCCTGACCTGACCCTTAAGATGGCCTTTCTCCTCGCTATCACCTCTCTGAGGAGGGTGGGGCATCTCCAGGCACTTTCGGTTTTTCCTCAATGCCTGGAGTTTGCCCCGGGGAGGTTCAGAGCCATCCTGCACCCCTGTCCGGGCTATGTCCCTAAGGTTCCGTCCAGGTTGGCAGGGCCTACGGTGCTGCAGGCGTTTCATCTACCACCTCATGTGACGGCGGAGGACTGGAGACTTCATCTGCTCTGCCCGGTCAGAGTATTTACACTCTGAGGTCCTCCCGGTGGAGGAAAGCAGACCAGTTGCTGGTGTGTTTCGGGTCCCCCAAGGCTGGGCTCTCCGCTTCCAAACACACGATCAGCAACTGAATTGTTCAGACTATTTCCCTGGCCTATCAGGTGCACGAGTTACCTTCACCTATGGCCGTAAGGGCGCACTCTACTCGAGGCATGGCGGCCTCTAGGGCCCTCCTCGAAGGGGCTTCGCTCCAGGATTTGTGTGAGGCAGCTGGCTGGGCCACTCCTCACACTTTCATCCGGTTATAGAGTCTGGACCTTCCTTCTGCACCCAGCACCTGTGCCTAGTCGTGCCTACAGGTTGCTGCACGCTGGGGGCAGGCGGGGTTTCGGCGCGGCCTAAGTGGGTACCTCGTTCCCATAGTGTCGTCACTGACGCAGTTTGAGTTCCTTCGAAGGGGAACGTCTCGGGTTTCGTATGTAACAGTTGTTCACCGAGAAGGGGAACGAGACACTGCGTCGGACCGCCACACCTCACCCCACCTGGAGTGCCTTGCTTCATAGCAAAAGGGATCTGTGAAAACATGGCTGTATTCAAAGAGCTAGATATGGTGCCACCACTCAGCGTTGCTTCCGGTTTGTCCAAGCAGCTACTGTCACTACTGCAAGATAGATCCTTTACAGCACAAAAAGTGTTTGACCCATAAAACTCCATTATACATTTTTTCCCCAAGTTTTGTGATCCCAAATACCTACCAGGGTAAATTTATTTTATTCCCTTTTTATGAATTTTTTATCATGCTGCAAAGACAGTTTAACAGTTTTCAACCAAAAACATGCCCTGCTGCATTTTAAGATAAAAGTCCAGGTCTGTTTTTATTTACCTCGTCTCTTGGACCTGTATCTCCTAGTGAACAAGACGATGAGGAGGAGGAGGAGCACGAGGAGGACGATACCTATTCCAAACAACACACCATGAAGTAGTCGCCGTCTTCAGGAGCAGATGGAAGACAAAGTAAAAATTCATAACTACTTACAAAATGAAACAGTACATACAGACATAATGCATGTCAGGTATACAGCAGTCCAGGGTAGCAGCAACCTTTGGAGAAGACCGTTTACTTCAGTACTGTAAAAGTACAATTCATAATCACTTGGCAAATTATATTTTATGCTGCTTTATGCTTCAGTCATCATGCCCACTGGCCTTTAATCACTCTCTGACACCATGACTGTGTAGTTTAGCGCCGCTGTCTCCAGGTAAGCAAATAGTGCTGTTTCATACATGATGTGACTGGTTTCACTGCAATATCCTAAAATCATCCACATCCCTCACTGCTGTCACGTGATTACACTCATAATGTGTTCAAACAACCCGTTCTCACTCCCAAGTCGTCACATATGGACGCATGGTCAAGAGTCGTGTGTTTGTGAAGCACTGGCGATCCCTTTAGCGTCATAGTTCGACGCATTGAGGGAAGTCCTGTAGCGTCGTTTTTTGATGGTAAAGGTAGGCATATGATATTTAACAGAAAAGAGTGAGTAAAGAGCTGGTTGGGGGGCCAGAACCCGGACTTTGAACCAGGAGAGCGAGGTTCGTGTAGTTAGGCCTACCCAGGTCGATAAAAGGAGACGCCCAAAGGCCTTGACCAAGCGTCAATATGTGATGAGTCGGGAGTGAGAAAACTTTTTTTCTCTAAATATTTTAACTTTATTGCCTCAGATTATTTTTTATAATAGCAGGCCCTACTTCAAAGCATGGGGACGCTTACAGATAAAACGTGATCTAAAGTGTAATAAATGTAGAAATAGTGACTGTGTTCAGAACGTTTCAGTCAGAGAAGTCAAATGTTGAACCAAACAATCTTCAGAAAGACTCTCAATCTGTTGCTCATTAAGTGACTTTGAAGCTACACAAAGTTAAATTCAGAGACTAACTTCATTGAATATGATCACTCATTGACTGAGAGGTGGAAACTGTAGATGTTGCTGTAATGATCAAACATATTGGAAACATCATTTGCTGAATTGTGAATCAATGCATATATAACAGAATATTGTAGAGAGAGACACTTTTTCTTTTCATGCTTTTTAAAACCAATGTCGTCATACCTGTGTTTACTAGAGGTGTGGATGGTGCAGTTGTTGCTGGAGGTGGAGGAGTTGTTGAGGTCTCTGGTGGTGGTGGTGACGAAGTCGTTGTTGGAGGTGGAGGAGTTGTTGAGGTCTCTGGTGGTGGTGGTGACGAAGTCGTTGTTGGAGGTGGAGGAGTTGTTGAGGTCTCTGGTGGTGGTGGTGACGAAGTCGTTGCTGGAGGTGGAGGAGTTGTTGAGGTCTCTGGTGGTGGTGGTGACGAAGTCGTTGCTGGAGGTGGAGGATCTGTTGTTGTTGTTGTTGGTTCCTTACGACCTTTAGTGAAGGACGGAGGAAACAATATAGAGCTGATGCCACGACATGTCCAGCCTCTGTAACTCAGTGCACTCTCTAATTCAGCATTTTGTTCGTCTGTCGATCTGAAAAAATGTGTTCCTGAGGTTTGCTTTCCACATTCTACAGCACAGTAGTAAAGTTCATACTTTTACTCTACTACATATTGTAAATGGTAAACCATGAGCTGAAAGGGAATGTGATATACGCCTGTAGTATCAAAGTTAAACCTGTTCTGCATTAGCTGATTTTTACAGATTACCAATCGATGGAGCTTGACGGGAACACAGTTAATAAGTAACGTCTATTTATGTCACTTGTTTTCATTAAAATCTTAAACACCAAGGCCACGGCTGAGAGTTCAGGGGTGTGAACACTTAACAAAGAAACGTTTTTACACTGACGTGTGTGTTTTGTGCCAAAGAGTAAAGCTGAAGTTTTATATTTTCTTTGCTCTGGGTTGTGTTTTTGGGTCAGAACCTGCACGTTCTGAATCATCACAACAACATACTGTTGAGAAAGGCTCTGTTCTACGGCTTTATTTTTAGTTTTAAGTAGAGTTTAAAAAAAGTTTCCTTCTCTCTTCAGCTCTCCTTACAGAAATAGATATTACAACATCTTTAATACGTCACAAAATGATTCACGTGATTGAAAACGAACTACACCACGTCCATTTTGGTTGAGACTCAAAACTAAAACCACTCCCCAACTTACTACACGTAATTAACTAAACTAACAAAATTAAAAATAAAAGGATAAACTGAAACTTATTTATTCATAGTGAAAACAGAACATGTTACCTTGGATCACCGTCAGCTCCACAGCTGCTTCATTATTACAGAAGTATGTTCCAGCGTCTGAGACGGCAGCTCTGCTGATGTGAAGTGACTTATCTGCTGATGAACTGTATCGTTTCAGTGGGTCATGAATGTGTCTTATGTCTCCGTCTCCATCAACTGTAAGTATGTCAACTCTGTTTCCGTTTCTCTCTCTGCTCCACGTCACTTTACCCTCCACAGGGTGAGGACATGGCAGAGTGACGGAGTCCTTCTGCCTGATTATTTTATGCTTTTTCTCTGTAAAAGAAAAAAAAATTTCAATAAATTTACCTGTTTTAAGAGATGCAGTATTTCTGCTATTTGAGCAACTCTGATCTATGTTCACCATTAGAGACAGAATAACATCAATATGTCCAATGCAGTGGAAACACATTGAAGAAGGCAGCTGTTCTCCACCAAACAGCTGTGTGAGGGATTTTCAAAACAAAATAAAGTTGGATCCCTGACTGTCCTCTACCCGGCTCTACCAGAATATTGGTGTCAGATTTAATTTAAACCTAATTTAGTCTAATCCAGAGTTCTTTTTCTAGAAAGACATGGATCCCAAGTTATAAAATATGCTATTTGTTGACATATTCAGCTAAACTTCAAAGTAAGCTTGGCCGTCTGTAGTTTACTTATGAAGCTGCTACATAAATCTAATATATTATAACTAAGGTTCTCCTTTTGTGTGGCCGTGAAAGTTAAAAAGTCTTATCGGTCTTTTGTTTTCTTTTTTTTTAAACCTGTCCTGCCCAGCAGCCTGGTATAGAGTATGATGACCTGGATACCATATTGTGCCAGACAGATTTTACTTTAACAAGAGAGTATTAGCAGCTGCATGCCACCAACAACCCACCCACCTGTCAAGGGCCGAGAACTCCAGGCACAAACCCAGAACAAACCGGAGCACAGCCCTGCCCCGCACCCACACTGCACATCCCGAAAACTAACTATATACCTCAGTATCCAGAGGGGTCCAACAACTGGCCGACAGAGAAATGGGGAAGCACGGATCCGAGGCCAACGAAGCAAAACAGGGACGCAAACTTGTCCCTCCAAGCCAACAAGGAAATGACTCCCCCGGACTCCAATGCACAAACTAAACGCCCAGCAGCCATTCAGAGACCCTGCCCAGGGAAAAAGCACAACAATCACCCCACAATCCCACCGCAGCCCACCAAGCTGCAATCGGATCAACCCGCGCAGAGACCCCCACCCCCAGAAGCCAGGGCACCCTGCGACCCCCCAAAGCACAAAGGACCCCAGACCGCATGTCCCGGGGGAAGCTGTACCCCGCCCCAAGGAAGAACAGCAGAAAGCCGTGCCGGGAAGCTCCCTGCCGCCAGGGAGCGATAACGCGGGAGAACCAGGCCAACGGTCCCCAGCCCAGCCAGGGGCATCCCTCCCCAGAGTGCAGGCAGTGCCAGCAGCCCCCGAGGCCGATATCATCCCTGGACGGGGGCCCAGCCCCCCAAGTCAAGCACCCCCAAGGAGGAGCACCAAAACATACCCTGACAACGCAGGCCATGCGCCCCAGAGACTCCCAAATGCCCCCACTGTGAGATAGCTGGCAGGGGAAAGCAGCAGGAGCCTCACCCCTGCCGAAGAGGGCCCAGGAGAGGAGACAGCGGGCCCCCAGGCCCAGGGAAACACCACCCGCCCAGAAATGTGCAAAGGCCACAAGCCCGAGTCCCCATGTCCCTAGGTCAAGAGCGGGTCCCCACGCCAGATCGGTCATTTTCAGCGCAAGTGTTCAGCAGCCAAATGCACAGCAGAGCTGTTGACATTAACCTGCGTTAATATTAACATTTTAAAATAATTATATCAGCAGAGCAGAAGCTTTAACATGACTGCTGGATAAAATAAAAAACTTATGTAAAGTTCTTACCTGCGCTGACATTACAGCACAGAACAAAGGCTAACAGGCAGCTGTAGATCTTCATCCTCATCCTCACACAGACTGAAGTGACTGATCGAACAAGCACTGTTTAATTCTGAGAAAAGGATGTGTAAACCGGACATTATCGTCTTTGTCTTCTTGTGGTTAATGCCCACTGATGGTTAAGGTTATTTAAATATAGAGCATGATCAAACTTCCCTCCATTCTGTGCCAGTACAAGAAAGAACCTGAAATAACTGACTAAAAGACAAAGACATGATCACCTTATGAAGCTGTTATAACAAACATGGTAACAAACCATCGACTACTTCCACAGAGCAACATTAGCATCCCATTGGAGAGGAGTTTGTGTCCATAACAGCTGAAAAGGCAGAGAGCAGAGATGCTAAACAGGAAAACCACCTTTACACATAGAGAGCTAACCACACAGACAATAACGTCACGATCTAATGATGGCGACCTGTGGGAAAACATCCAGCTTGTTGTTAGCTGAGAACTGCTTGGTGTTTGTCTTTAAACTGGCTGCAAAATGTGACCACAGAAAGATGACTGCATGTCACAGTCTCCTTTTAAGGCATTTGAAGTCCACATGAATACTGTGGAAGAAAGCCAGGAAGCACAGGTGTCATGTATTTTCATCTGTCAAGTTTTTTATTTCTAAATTGTTTAACTTTAATAATGGTTTTATTCAAATGAGTCAAAATGTGCCAATGATTTTGTGGGCTGAAATGACAAATGTTAATAGCATATTTTTTCAAACACTCAGACTCCGGGCTGACGGCTGGAGTATGGGACCAGAGACAAGGCAAAAGGGCAACTAGACTGGGGGCCAGCAACAGGCCTAGAGTTTGAGCAGGGGGACGGCAATGTGATTGTCTTTTAACTTACAACTTGCACCACCTTACCTGTCTGAGCTAATTACACCATAAACACCAGCAAGACGCCTGAACTCTCCCAATGCAGGTCTCCCTGTCACTCCTTTAATTTAATAAAGACGTTGCCTATTTATTATTGCTAACTTGACCACGGAGCCCTACATGTGCAAAAGTGAAGCCTGAGGGGTCTCTACCAAGCGTCCATATGTGTCAAGTTGGGGCCGAGAAGGTTTTGGGAAATCATGTCTTTGTGTCATTTGGTTGTGGCTTCTGAAAACACACTTAAAAGGAAACAGGTACATGTGGAGGGTAGAAGCATCATATCTTATATGTGTACAAAGAAAACTATTACATGTACTGTATTTATGCTTTTTTTAATGAAAGAAACCATGGCAAATACATTTCAGTGATTCTTGAGATCAGGAACAAACAGGTTTTGATTTTCTAAAATAAAATCTTGATTATTTAAAAAAAAAACTATGTATGCATCTTTGCCAAATGAGGCTTTGGCTGTGTAACCATGTCTTTGAACAACCTCCCAGTTTTCTTCATTAATTACATGTTTGCAGGAACAGCACTAGATTTTAGTTAACACCATCAAAACATAGAAATGTCATTGAATTTAATTATTACAGATATTTTGACGCTGTTGGTTCTGCTAATAATATACACATTTTTAAATGAGTCATATCACCTTTTAAAAGTTAGATTAGTCAATGTTCAATGGGTTTAAGTTCTATGGATTAACCAATTTAGCATTTAGTCTCCATAATGAACAGAGATACTTAGAAACATTAAAATTACATCTTTGAAACCTTTTGAAATGCAACAATTTTATAGAGTTTTTTAAAACAACTTCACTCCATCTGACGGTGGTGCCAAACTTGTAAGAAACAGAAAAATATTTCATTCAAAATTAACATTGAACTAACAAATATTGTAACATTACAAGATGTGAAGAAAATACATTACATAACCAATTGTTTTATGGATTAACATCACAAGGGAGGAGAGGAACTTTACAGGCAACAGACAATGAACATAAGCCCAAGTGCTGCTTACACATAAACTACAAACCCCGTTTCCAGCAAAGTTGGGATATGTTCCAAAATGCAAAAAACAAAACAAATCTGTGATTTGTTAATTCTTGTGAATCTTTATTTAAAAGATTTTTCAATCGTTTCACTGACCAGCACAATTGTATTTTGTAAATGTTAACAAAGTTAGATTTTCATGCCTTCAACACAGGGGGGAAGAAGAGGAGTTGGGACGTATTTATGGAAATGCTGATGATGACATGGTTGATTGCGGTCCTGCTCCTGAAACTCTGCTAGTTTGCACCACTAAAAGTAGAATCCGCCAAAGGCTCAATTTCTGCAAGATGGCTCGGGGACCCCTTGGTGCAAAGGGAGCATTTCTCAATGCAAGATTGCAGAGAATTTAGGTCTTTCAAAATCAACAGTACGTAATTTTGTGAAAAGATTAAGGACATTTGGGAGACATCTCACTGAGTAAAGGCAAGGTGGGTCACTGGAGCACAGGTTTCATCAGCTGGCAATTTCAATGCACATTTAAGAGTGTAAGTTGCAACTATTCTTAACAATAATGGAAAGCTGAGTGGCAGTAATAACAATGAACATAGGCAACACTCAGTCATCACAGAATATTATTAACAGTGAGGACACAAAAAGTGGTCCACATCTCAAGCACACTTATCTAGTGTTGTAGTACTTGAGACCGGTCTTGGTCTTAAGACCACTTTTTGATGGTCTTGTCTCAGACTCGACCGCCTTTGTACTCTGTCTTGAGGACTCAGGATTTTATTTCAAGACCAGTCAATACCGTAACTTTGGGAATATCAATAAATTGCTTTTGCATTGTCTGATTTGTTAACATCCTAACTTTGATTGGAAGTAAAACTTATTGCTTCAAATGCAGCCAATAACCCTAATTAAACATGTGTTGTTCCCGTTAACGACTGTCACAGCTCCCCACGATGTTTACGTTGATTTCAGCTCTTAGTGTTTGTATGTGGGGGTTTTAATGGGAATGTGGATCTTTCAGATCACTTTGAGAACTACCTATGAGCTTGTTCCACATTTTGTTGAGTGCCATGCAATGCAGGGAACTGGTCTTGGTCTTGATTCGGTCGTGATAAACTCTGGTCTTGGTCTTGACTTGGTCTCGGTTTGGGCGGTCTTGACTACAACACTTATCTTCCAAAACCACTGTCAAGGTTATGTAGCCTAAGGCAGGATAAGGTAAATGCTGCTTTCACTCACCAGGTAACACCACAATAGCGTCAGCCTCATGGGGCTCATTTTCTGGAACGTTCATTTCTGTAAGCTTGATTTATCCTCCTGCGTAGGATCGTGATCGGAGCGGAAAAGAGACATCAAGTTCTCCAAGCCAAAGATGGAAAAGACAATCCAATAGTTCTCAGCGAAAGGTGCAGAAGCAGCATCTGTGATGGGGGTGCATCAGTGCCCAGTGCCCCTGCATGTCTGTGAAGGTACCATTAACGCAGAGGCATATTTTGGGATTTTAGAGACAGATCAAGTTGACATCTCTTGCAGGGACATCCATGTCAGCAGGACAGTGGCAGGCCTCCTTCTGCACGGGCTGCAACAGCGCAGCTTCGTAGACACAGAGTGCTCGACCGGCCTACTGCCAGCCCAGATCTGCCTCCTATTGAAAATGTATGGCACCTCATGAAGAGGAGAATGAAACAAGAACAAATACAGACTGTTGAGCAGCTGAAGTTTTGTATCAAGCAAGAATGAGCAAAAATTCCACTTGCAGAACCGGCACATTAGTAGGCCTATCTTCACTTCGCAAATTTAGAAGTGCAATTAAAAGGAAAGGTGATGTAACACACTGGGAAACATGTTGCATGCATGAAATTTGTTTTTATTTTTTCAAAATACAATTACCCTGGTCAGTAAAAGTGTTGAAACTAAAGGTTCATGTGAATTTACAAATCTCAGATCTTCTTTTTATTGCATTTTGGAAAGTATCTCAACTTTCCTGAAAAGGGGAAACTAGTCGTCACAGTGTTGAAAGCTGGAGGACTTTTTACTGTCAGACTGTCTGAGGATGAACGCTGAACACGGCTCAGTTACTGCTCTCGTGTGATGGAGGATCATTTTCTGTTGCTGCTGGTGTTGCCCCTGTGTCTGTCGAGCTGCAAGAGAGAGAAGATAACATGGAGATGATTTTATTAACTTCTGTTGTTACTTTTCAACATTTAAACATTGTATTTGGTAATTATTAGTAACGTGTTGTGGTTATCAGTGACTTGCAACTCTGTTTGTTTGTTAGCAGAATGTCTCAAAGAAGACTTTTCAGTTTCAATGACACCTGGTAGAAAGTTGGGACAAGTGATTACTTTTGGTGCAGATCTAA